CTATTTAAAGAATTTCTTTTTTCTCATGCCTGGACCTTTCTTTAACTGGATGCCAGCCAATTTCCATTTCTCTACCTCCCAGCCTGCTGATGTTCTCTATGCTCTCGTTTTATTTTTATACATACACACACATATACATATGTATGTACGTATGTATGTATATAATCTAAGCCCTTCAGGTTTAGATTTGGCAATAACTGTTTCATTGTGGTTTAGTTTTGTTTTGTTTTTAAATCAGAGAACACTGAAACACTTGGCAGCACCGTCAGAGATAAAAAAGGTCGCTCTAGGCTACCCCGGGGAAAGTTTGCACGTTCATTGCTGATCTCACCAAGCAAGGTGGGCATGAAAATCAAGAAGCCTGAAGCTGTCACTGTTCACATGGTTAGACATGGTCACACATGCATACTTATGTTAAAATTTGTATTTATTCACTTTACGAATATAAGCAGTAATACTCAGATAATGTAAGTAATATGTAAGCAATACTTACTTACTTACACGCCCCTCTTGAGAATCTCCAAAAGCTTTATTAAGGTAAATAGAAAGTAGGGTAGCTGGAAACAAGAACGTGAAAATGATACGAAGTATCCAAACCACAGGTATAGTATACCTCTACTAAGCAATTTGCTGGTAACAACTGCCCTATTCTTGATCTCACATAGGGAAGGAAAATCCACTGGAAAAAACAGTTAATATTTGCCTGCATTAACTTCAATAATTTTTTGCTTTCAAAAAGTGTCATTATGTTTGCTTTCTTTTTTAATCCAGTGGTCTGGTTTAGGAAAAGGAGAACGAACAATTGGAAAAAAGTGGAAGCCCAAAGCATAATATAAGTTTAGATTATACTGCTTTACTGGTATTTCCTTAGAATCACATACCATTATGCAAAGTCTTTTGGTGATAAAATAACACAATTTCTATGAAAGCTAAAAACATAGGAAAACATAAATATGCATTTTCACTTTCTGACAGTGCATTTAAAAAGCCATTTTTTCCCCTCTTGTTTTTTTTTTTCAATCTTCACTTTGTTATTCAGGACTTCAAAGGTCTTTTAAGAATAGGCATACTTTCTCACAGGAACTTTTAAAAGTATTTGAGAGAGAAACATTACAAACACAAACATGCCTTAAGGACTTTATTTTAAATCACTTACTTTAATCTATCATACTTATCTGGTTGGTTGCTAAGATTCATAATACTTATTAGCCATTACAGAATGTTGTAGGATAAAAAATTCTGAAAATCCTACAGAAACATATAAACACAGGTATGTGAGCATCTTAAGCCCAAACCAAATTTCAGCTCTTAAACAAAGTAAGAGTAGTGAACAAAGTATTTTTGTACTTCTATGTTTGCATTTTTATCTTTACAATTAATACTAAGCACTGTCCTTGTTCAACCCCAGCCAGCAACTAAGCAGCACAGAGCCACTTGCTCACTTCCCCCCGGTGGGATGGGAGAGAGGATCATGAGGGTAAAAGCGAGAGAACTCAGGGGTTGAGGTAGACAGTTCAATAAGGAATGCAAAAACTGCACATGCAAGCAAAGCCAAACAAGGCATTCATCCACCACTTCCCAAGGGCAGGCAAGTGTTTAGCCTTCTCCAGGACAACAGGGTGACTTGGGAAGACAAATGCCGTCCCTCCAAATGTCCTCCTTTCTCCTTCTTCCCCCAGTTTTACATGCTGAGCATGACACCACATGGTCTGTAATATCCCTTTAGTCAGCTGGAGTCAGCTGTCCTGGCTGTGTCCTCTCCCAGTTTCTTGTGCACCCCCAGCCTCCTCACTGGTGGGGCAGCACAGAAGCTTGAGAGGATGCAAGCACTGCTCACATCATCTCTGTATTATCAAATTGTTTTCAGCACAAATCTAAAACATACCACCATACCAGCCACTGTGAAGGACATTTAACTCTACCCCAGCCCAAACCAGAACAGGTGCCAGTTAATTTGGATTCCAATTGCGAGCAACTAGTCTACATCTTGAGGACATTCTACAGAGTACAAGAATCTTTTGGACTTACAGTGACATAAATTATGTTGGAAATTTGGGTCAAAGATTCAAAGATTTTTTTTTTTTCTTTCAGAATAACCCCAAGGCCTTTTACTAACATTGTTTCAAAGTAAAATAAATATTTACTGTTTCTGATACTCTGTCTCAAGCCAACTGATGCAAGAAGAGAAGAGCGTGGTTTAGAAGCTTGTTACATATCTTAAGTGATATAATACTTGTATGCTTTGTAGACTGTGTACTATGCGTTTCCTTTTCCATCTGCTTTTATTTGTATTAAAATATATACATGCAAAAGAAAAAGAAACTAAACTCAAGGTTGTTTTTGGTTATATTGATTCCTCATAAACTTCAGTAAAATAAAACATAGACTTATTGCCAGGATAATTTTGTTCTTCTTTTTTTGTATAAGCTTGCTTGGACTGTTTCCAATTTAAAAACTAGATCTTATTTCAGAGTTTGGTAACTATCACTGAGGGTTTATTCAATTCACTAATGTTCACTCTTGAACAAAAACATGAAATGTTTATCTAAAATAAGATCATGAGTTTGTTTGTCATAATTTGTATCTTAAAGAAAGTCACGGTCAGTGACAACTAGAACTTTTTCACACCATCTTTTCTTAACACAAACATCTCTGGTTGTTAGATCACAAAAATTTCAAAAGGATTAAATGATTGATTTTGAATAGCATTGTGTGCCATCTTTGGGTTTAGCTCAGCCCATGTGTCTACAGGTTTAGCATTGTCATTGAGAATTACACCCATTTATGCCAGGGATTAACATGCCAGGGTCTCTCCCTCTGAAATCACAGCTCCTTTCTAAAGATGCAGCTTCTTGCTACTGTTATTTTCAAGTAAATGCACAATTAACTACAGGCTGCACTGGTAGTTTGTGGGGATGAAGATTAAACCTGAAGTGAGCACAGAAGATTCAACTCTGCTCCACTTCAGAGTAAAACCTGTTTCTTTGAGGGATTGTCACCCACATGCAAGTGCTGGAGTGCAAACCTCCTCCTTGAAATGCCTCACACTGCCTTTTCACTTCTCCACCCACCACTTGTTCTCATACTCTCACTGTTGAGTGTAATCAATGTCATTGGAAGCTAAGCTGCCCAATTCCTCAGAACAACATCTGACTACTCTCCTTAATAGCGAGTGTAGCAAACAGAGCCATTACAAATGGCAAAGCTTTTCCTAGTGTAGAATAAAAGACTAGTGGTAAATTCAGATTCCCTAACCCCATCTGCTAAATCCTACACTACACAACAATCCTTTTATTCAAGTTCAAAGATGCAGCTTCTCCATTTAAAGGGCACTTGTTATCTCAGAGGAAATGGAGGCTAGAGTGTGCCTGACACTAAAGAAAGAAAAAATTAATGTTGTCTCTGCAACGAGACCGTCCAAAACAGCCAGTCTCACTCAAGCATAATTAATCAATTGTGTGCTCTTTTAGCAAACCAATTACTTTTATTCTTCAGCTTTTGACTTGTCCACATGCCAGTTTACAGTTGTAAGTGATGGGGAAGTGTGGTAAGACTGACGTCTCTCTTCCTTTCTCAGGCACTGAGCTGAATTTGTTATTCTATATAAAATACTAACTGCTCTATGATTGCTACAGGACTACATGTCATACTAATTAGTATGTTCTCTTTTTTTCCTACCTTTTCCCCCTCTATCTTTTCTTAATTCGATAACTGTGTCTATTAGACCCGTTCTGTATTCAGGCTTGTTCTCCAGCGCTACTGCTGAGCAATGTTAGGACCTCACAAAAAGTAACGAGAAAGGTTTTAGGATTGTTGTTTGGTTTTGATGTGTTTGGTTTGTTTTGGTTTTTAACTGGAGGTATTTTAAAATCTTTAACAGTAAATATGCAAATTTTCCCTTTCACACATATAAAAATAAAAATGGAAAAATCTAATACAACTCATTTTTGGTAACTCACCAATCTTTTAGCCTCATGAACATTGTGATTCCTTGTGTTTTTAAGGGCACGTTGCATACATTTATCCATGTAGGTTTGTTGCCTGCCAACTTGACTAATTTACCTTTCTTTTTGTATAATGTAAAGGTGTAAATTAGACCTTCTAAATACTAAAATGTAACATTATACGCCATTCGCACAATGTCTATCATTAATTTCCCTAACATGTCTTCATATGAAAATTCCTAGACACGTGGAAAAATTCCACTATCTATTTTTACAGCATTTTTTTTTTCCTAGCTGAACAGGACACACTACAGAGAAGACTATACACTAGATTTATGCAGTAGCTATAGAGCTTTCTATTTTTACATCATACTTACAGATTTTAACACTTTGGTTGTTTTTATAACTAGCAGCATACACTAAGTCTGTTTTTTTAATGAACTTAAAATTTCATTTAGTATCAATACACTAGGAAATAATAATCTAGGAATGTCTAGATTATTCTTAATTTAATTATTTATTAAATTGTATATGTCATCCGTGGGTTTTAGCCATTATTAAGCTAATTCACTTGCTTTCTTAATCTTTCGTGTTCCCTTCAAAATTGTAGTAACCTGATCAATAAAACATCATCTGAAAATGAGACTATCTCATTGCTAAATTCTTTTTCACAATTGACAAGATATCTTTGGCTAACACTACATATACAAAGCTTCAGAACATGGCTATTAGCTTTAGTATTCTTGACCTACATTATACCTCAAATAAGCTAAATTTTCTGCCCCTTGGGTAAGTGCTCCTCTGCAACAGTGAGTATTTTAAAATAATAAAATGTATTCCATCTCTGAATTGTTGTAATCCCAGATAAAGCCTATCCTGCTATTTTCCCTTAAGCTTTATTTCTAGTTTATACAAATTTGTTTTAAGTTCTGTTGAACAGATGCAAGTATAACAGAAACTGATATGGGGAGGCACTACAATGTGATAATCTGCAGATATGATCTTGATTTAAATGGGACAACATCAGAACATATGGAGTAAATTTAATTGTTCTACCTTGATTGAACACAATCAGGATGGAGACACTTCTGTTATTCTTTTGTATTTGCTTCCCAGGAGGTTAGGAATGTAGCTTCTGTCACTATGGGGTTCTACGTGAAAGAAGGTAAAAACATTGTTCCCTAAGGAAAAAGCAAAAGCAGGTGTATCATACACTTGCCTGCACTGTTGCAAACAAGTGCATAGCACAAACTACAACAAATAAAACATTCCATCATTTTAATGAATTGAAATAGATTGTGCACATATGGATGAAAGACAAAACCTGTAATATTCCACCATAATGTGAAAATACAATACCACTTGGAAGAATACATCGTTCTACCTCCAATCCTTACACCCAGTTTCTTTGTTTACCCAGATTTCACCTTATTTCTGTGACAGATAGGCCCCTTTTTCTTCTTGCCTCCACCATTTCATGCCACTCATTTCTAGGCCCAGTGTTCTCACCCTGCCACACTGCCTCCTGTTACACATCTTCTCCATATATGGTGCCCATGGGTTTCTGTTCCTCAGTTCCTTGTTCCGTTCTGCATCTCGTTCTTTTTGGTGAGTCTATCCAAGTTTCCTCTTATCCTAGTTCCCAGAGGAAACACTCACTCCTTCTCTTGTTTGACTTTGAGCCGCATCTTCATTTTCCTCCCTTCCTGCATGTATGGCTCTTGCTTTCAAATCAGACAATTCTCCTTTTTTAGTTGCTTGGTACCAGCAAAGGGTGAAGGATGGTCACCCCAAAGTCCAATCCTTGTTTCAAACATGGAAAGAAGTCTACACATACTGAAAGGCAAAGTGACCTGTATTATTAACAATAGCAATGTTTAATATTTTTATAATATGTATAAAGGGTTTATTTCCAAGGTTGTTCAATCACCCATTATGAAGACACTCTATGGAGAAGAAATAGTTTATATATGAACTGTCTGTTATCACAGACAGCATACTCACGTTCAAGGCTGGGTTGCACGGGGCTTTGAGCAACCTGGTTTAGTGGAAGGTGTCTGTGCCTGCAGCAGGGTGGTTGAAACTACAGGATTTTCAAGGTTCCTTACAACCCAAACTGTTCTATGGTCCTATGATATTTGATCTAAAATAACTAAAAAAATGCACCCAACACCACTGTATATAATTTGGCATCTTTATAATTCATTGCATTCACACAAAAACAAAAAGCAGAAGGAAATAAAACTCTCTTGCTTCAATCCTAGCAATAACTCAGCCAGCAAACTTTACTGCAAATGTCTGTGTATATACCTCCTGTGAAAACTGCCTAATGTCCACTATGCACAGGAGAAAGGAAATAAGCCGTATGTCAACAGATCAAAGAGTACACTGGAACACTGAATAAAGTTCACACTACAAATGAAAATGAAGTAGCAAAATTTATGTTAAGTGATATCCACTGGTGTTTAATACAAATTTTGGGGTTGTTAGTTATAAATTATTAAACAGTAGAATCAGGAGATTAGCTGAGCAGTTTCCAAGACAACAAACTTTCCCTAGTGTTGCTAGAGTTTCTGCTGTCTCCTCATCAGACCTGCATTTTGGCTGTCTTTCAGAGTCTGTGGATTTGTAGATATGGCACAAGCACTTGCCTTGGTTTTGCTGGGAAAAAAACCAATCTTCTTTTATATGAGCTAATTGTTATTGACTAGATACTTCAAAATTAGTGTACAAAAAGGTTAGTTGCTTTCTTTATAGCTGTCTTACACTTGCTTCAAAACTAAGAAGGGTCTAGACCAATAAGTACCCTTCTCAAGTGGCCATGTATATAAATGTAATACAATATCAGTGGAGATGGGCAAAAACTACACACTATTGAGAAAGCAAGCCAAAGCCAATGAAGCCAAAGCTCAATTCTAATAAGATTACCTTTTCTAATTGCCATTAGGAAGTCATGCTGAACAACAACAACAAAAATATTAAAGAAAATTTGCAATTATAAATTAAAATGTTTTTATAGAATGGGTACTTCTATAAGTTAATTTTAGGTATGTATCTGAGTAAAGAAATAACTTTAGATGTCAAAAGTGAAACTTAAAGCCTTTTTCTAGACTGGGCACATTTGGTTGCAATAAACTATTTTCTTTTTTACTCCAGAAATTAATTAACAATAAGACATTTTAAACTGCACTTCCTATACAGTTTTCTGCATCTCTTTTCTTTTTTTTTGACAATATTGTAATAGTAGTTTTCCCAACTAATACAGATAATTTGAAAGTATTTTAAAAATATATCCTTGATTAAGCTTTTTGGAAACTGAAATGTCATGAAACCAAAATACTGAAAGTCTTACTCAGATTCAGAAGTTCTTATTGGGAATGATGTCTTTTTTCATTTCCACTCCCCTTTTATGAATCTTACAACTGTTCAGACAGCAGATAGTCTACATTTATAAATAGTAGCTGATCTTATTACTTCTAAAGCAGGCACCATTATTCTCAAAGAGACAGCCAACACTTATTTTGCAAATTGTAGAAGAGAAACAATTTTGCTTAAGGCCATTCAAAATTCAGGTTTCGGTTTCTTCTGATGTCACATTTTTGTTAAACTAATAACATAGCATATTAAAGCCTTCCCAGAATCAACATATCCTTGTGAGTGCCAAAGCAAACATTATATTAACCTTTACACATGGAAAATCTAAGTCACATACATGAGTAAGACTGCATGATGCTCAGGAGCTTATCACCATCACTGGCCCCAGAAAATTCTACAAGTGAAAACGATTTGTATTATACTAAGAGCTCTGTATATTCAGAAGTCACAATTATTAAACAGGGTAGCAACATAATTAAAATATAAGCAGATATTTATTGGTATTTCGCATGAAGACTACTATAGTCTTTTAAGACTTAGGGCTTAAGCTGTGTTTTAACCACAAGAGTTTTATTGCTGGTTGCAACAATGCCATTGCTAACCAAAGCTTCCTGAATCTCTTAATTAATAAAACAGTGTCTTATGGCAGTTTAGAATATACCAAAGATGCAGGATCAGATCCTACCTTCCAACTCCCTTTATTGTACCTTATTCTTGAAACAGATCTGGGTTTATGGAAATTAAGCAGGTCTCTCATCTTGTTAAAGATGATGAAGCTACTTGATATCCACGTTTAGATAACTGTTTTTTTTTCTACAAGATAATCAGTTCTACTTAGCTTAGCAGCTAACAACTTGCAAAAAAAAAAAATCAATGGTTGTCAGCTCTGACGTGTTTACTCTTCAGACTAAAACAAAAGCAAGAAGAAACTTTGAGAGTGTCACTGTATTAATGGCACTCAAAGCTGCATTTTATAGGTTACATGCATTCCATACCCTTTTTGAAAGAAGAGATTTATTTTATTCATTCACCTTTTTCTTGTCCTCTTCTTGTGGCTAAGTGATTTAAAATTACATTTAAGTAGCAGAAGTGGCATCTTTAACTACTAGCTCAACAGCCTCAGTATCATGTTCTGCATTTGAAAACAGTGTTTGCATTTTGGTTTGCTTCTTAAAAGCATTTAAAGTACTACTGTAGTCATGTCCTTTACTGTATCTCCACCTGGTCAATACAAAATATTGTGTTTTCTTTCTAATATTCAATCCCTAAGAAAGCAACTTCTATCTGTAAATGACAAAAATATCTCAGCTGCCAGGTAGATTACCATTTTAGTGTGATTACATTACCCCATAACAATAACAATAAAATGTACTCTGGACTACTGTTTTTGCTCCTCGCTCTAGCATATCTAACATATCATAAAAATAATGTTTGTATTTATCCAGACAAATATTAACGATTTTTTTCAGCATTGTTTAGGCATTCTGGTAGTTCTTTTCTACACAAAACGTTCAGTTTACAACCCAAGCACTTTGAATATATGTGTCACTAAGGTGTTACAGAAAGTCGAATTTGCCATGTTCCTCATGAGCATGTAGATGAAAAGTGGACATTTCAACAGCACAAGTCAGTCACAGTGGAGGACACCAATCACTGACTAGTATGATACGTGTGCATGTCACATGCAGTTAGTGTGGAATAATTACTTACATGCAAATCAGAAAGAGATTTTGTCTTCATTATTTATGCACAAAAAAATTTCCCCCAAAAGAGGAAACACAGTTGCAAGACACACAGTGGTTAAAAAAGACATGACTCAGAAATTAACACAGTGCAGCTTGTAGCAACAGTGAGAAGAGATATTCTCTTTCTCTAAATCTCTGAAAAAATCGTGTTTCAGTCTAAAACTTTTTACATATTGTGAATTTCAACAGGAATGAGATATATACTTATTGACTATTCCTATTCCAGGAAGTAGAATAGTGCATGGTCACAATTATGAAAAGATTAATGCATATCCCTTTATTGCATATAAAGCAGAAGTGAGAAATGGCCTTCCCCACCACCACCCCAGATCTTTCTCACACATATTTTTTTATAAAGAAAAGAAAGTTAGGGAAAAGGTTTTAATTTTCAGTTCAATATATTTATCCTTTTCAGTGATTAACACAACGTTTACTGGAAATATACATACTCCAATTTGCTTCTGCTACTGGAGTTCATTGCTGTACTACATTTCTGGAGTACAATTATTTATAAGGGTGCCTTTTGGTTGTTTCTTCAGGATTATGCAGAGACAGCAATGGTTTCTGGAACTTGCTTTGAATCCAAACTCGCTGCATTTTCACTTTTTTCTTCCTGTTTACTTGTAATCGCCGATCAACTAAATTCTGTACTTCAGTTAATCCAGCCAAGTTGAACATGTTCCATACCTCATCTATTTTTTCATAAGAAGAATTATTGTAATAAAAAAAAGAAAAAGGTAATTTGTAGAATGTAGCAATTAACAACCTTCAGTTCAACCAAATGGAACTAAATCTGTTTTGCAATACGAAAGATCAAGGACACTGCCTCTAAGAAGTCTTTTATTAGAAATTCATTCTCACAGCTCTTGATTTACATTGCAGTAAAAATTCTTATGTTGAGGCCCAAACCACATTGGTTATTACACATGGCACCCATAGATACCCTTTCTTCACAGGGTTCAATATGCCAGAATTGACTAAACAAATGCCATTTGGTCACTGTTCACCTATTACACCCAGATAAAGCTATTGCACCTGCCAAATGACAATCCAGACTTTTATGCCTTATATATATATATATGTGCATGTGTGTGTTTATATATATATACACATATATATATGTGTGTATATATATATGTGCATACACACACATATACATTTATATTAAATATATGTAATTAGTTCCTTCTTCTCAGTCATCACTGGAAAACCTTAAGCTTCTTTGTCTTAAGGAAGCATGAAACATATTTAAAAACTGAGAAGGTTCTTTAAATTCAAGTGATTTCCTACATATATGTCTCAGATCCTTCTTCTCACTTCTAAAATTACTAAGGCTGGGATAAATCCTGATCCATCTCTGTTGCTTACAGTCGAGGTTGCAGAGGGTAAAAAGAAAAAGAAAAAAAAAGTATTGTGATGCTCACTTTCACAATTTCACAATATACCAGTCTAAGCTGTCTGCCAGCTGAACCAAGTGAGTGGACAGGTAATGAGGAATAGTATACATAAGCAGGAACTGAAGTTTAGCTCCTGTATAAAGAGCAGCCTCACAGTTTAGATTCACCAACACGGCATAACAAAACATCAGAGCACTGCTACAAACTCTCCTTCCAAGCATGTTTATCTCAATTTTAAGAGAGAAATCATGTACATATTTAAATAACAAAATTTGAGCATACCATTAGACATAGGACACTTATATAAAGAGAAATTTCTGGTGATGTCTTTAAGCCATCTTGCAAGACCCCAAATGCAACAAGTGTACACATAAAGGAAATTATTTTCTTACAAAAGTTAGCATTGGTCTTTTTAAAAGCAGAGAATTTTAAAAAGCCAATAAAACCTTCTTTAAGTTTTTTTTTAAAGATAAGCTTTTATAATTCAATCTTGAGAGAAATTTAACCCTTTCTATGAAACTATAACTTTCCATACCTTTGGTAAAGAAATATACTCTGGTTCCATCTCCTCGTACATAAAAATTTTCTGACAAGCAATGACCTAGGAAATTGGGACAGTAATGCAAAAGGACGTCACTTTTTTTTTTCAAAAAAGTTAAAATGAACAATGAACTACAAAGCCATTCAGGAATTACCTTTTTTAAAACGAAGTTGAGCTGTATCATATCTTCCATAGTCTCGAAATAACAACATTCCTCCAGGTTTCAGTAGCTTAGCCAACCTATTTACAACCCTTTGCATCCTTAGAAAATAGATGGGATACTGGTGATATTTGCAAACATAAGCAACCAAGTGTGCTGCCACAGACAGAAAAGGCAGCACCACCTAAGAATAAGAGACACTTCAAGACGGGTAGTTGTGCCCAGAATTACAGACTTCACCTATATAAACTTAAGTTTTGTGCACAAAGGAAAAAATGTATATGCATAAAAAGTAAAAGTGCTTTGAGAAATCTCATCCAGCAGAACTAGAAGACATCAATTATATAGCTTGAAGAAAGTTTAATATCTTCCAATTCTGCAACCAAATCTTAGAGGTGCCTTCTAGCAGAACTGAAGTGTGTTAAAAATTTACTACAAGAGTAGCAATTATCAAAAACTTAGCACAACAGCCTGAAGAGAAATCACTAAGTAAGAATTTTCTGAATATAAATGTGTTCCTCTCACATATATTTTCCATCTTTCCCAAGTATATAAGTTCTGCATCACAGTTCCCTTGGTTTTCTTTTTCATTTCTCACTTTCAAAGTTTCCAGAAAAAATATATACTGAGCAAGATGAATCTGGATCACATTTTCCTTTATGCAGTCATTTTAATTCTACGAGATGGCAGTAATGACTAACACAGCTTTGGAAAGTGGGTCTCACAACACAGATAATTACACAGAAATTTTTATGTGTGTATACACACATATGCACAAAAAAGCATCCATGTCAGCCCTGAGAGAAAAACCACAACCAACAAACCACAAAAAAACTCAAACACATTCTTAAAAGACTAATAGGAAAAGACACACAGAAATAAGCAGAATACTGCTTCGACAGGCAAAGTGATTGATTTAATGAATGAAACACTATTTTCCAATATCTTCCTGGCAGCATCATGGCAGTCACAGAGATCTGAAGTCTACTGCTTGAATTGTTTCTGGAATCTGGACCCTGGCTTTGCACAACTTGTGCTCATCTCTGAACAAACAGGAAGGAGCAGTATCACATATGGGAAAGGGTTTCTGTAAAGCTAATCATTAGTAACTTAAGCAGAGAAACAGTTCTCAGACTTAGGCAAATACTGTTCTGTTTGCCAAGCCCATTTTAATGACATTCTTAGTGTAGTAAATATATTATCACACATACAGCATGTATTTCCCTTCATATAATCCAGTTAAAGGAAGAGTCAAGCAGTTTAACTTATGCCCTCCTATACATTTTTCCCGTCAAAAAATGGGATTTTCACAATCAGCCAGCCATAACAGTCAAAAAATTTGGTTCATTAGACATAGAGAGGCATTAGTAAAGGCTAACAGTACCCAACATAACACTATACATGAAAACTAGATCAAATTTTCTTAATCTAAACAAGTTAAAAAATTCTGGATGCATTTTGGTTTAAAAGGCCTGCATATAAGCATTTGTATGTGGCTAAATCAGCAACCTAAGTCTATATCAACATATTGTAAGCTGTTAAGTCATGAATGTTTAGTTTTGATTACTAAAAATAACTTCCTTCTAGAAGACTAGTTTGGTTTTTAATTTGCAGGTTTTTTGAATCCCTTGCTTCTAATAGGGTTGTGTTATTATAGTTACAATATACTCCTTGTATTTTGATGGAGACTGGAGACTCACTAATGAATTAGCCTGACAAGCTTTTCTCTTGAAGCCTGAAAATGGAAAACAGCATTTAAAATACCTTGTTTTATACATATTGTAGCTTGCTAAGTAATAAATTAAAGACTCATCATCTTCTTTTGCTATTCTTGAAAAACTCCAGTGAAAAGAGAGATTTAACCCATTTGCTTTGCCCTTTAGTCTTCATTTACCTGTCAGGATGAATAGTAGAGAGCACAAAGACAAGGAGAATGACATCCAGGATCTCATCTGGAAAAGGATAGGGTAAAGCGTCATCACACACATCATGAACAAAGGCAGAACACCAGGCTGAATTGTAGGACGAATGTGACTGTCAGAAAAAAGATGAAAAGGGGCACAGAGAGAACAGTAGTAGTTAGTACGTTTACTGTGACTCAAGAAACTTTTTTTCTTCAATTATTCTGCATTGTAAAACATCTCATATAAAAGCCTATTCTGTCTGGTATCTTACTCAAGCTGAGAAGCAAGCTCACTGATGGTATTCATTCCTCTCTGCATACAGTAAGACTTTGTTCTTTGGAATATTGAAAACTTCAGTTAAAAGTTGTCAAAGCCATCACATTCTTTTTCATGAAGATGGCTTCCTGGCAGCCTCCTGAATTACAGGCTTATAAGGTACTCTAAAGCGAGCGTATGAATTACCTTTACCAGCTCCACTGCTCCTGAAGCAAAATCACAACAGTATAGAAAGGTTCCAGGTGTATTGCTAAGAAAACAAAAGCAACATCAGTTAAAAAATTATTATTGTAAAAGATGAAAGTCTACATCAGTGTTCATGGAACTACAGAGGGCCCTTTGGGGTTCTCCACAGGTTTGATCAAGCATGCCTTCTTGATGTCTAGCACGTGGAAAGCCACATAGGTTGTAATGAACCAACAGGGCAGACAAATTTGTAAGAATACCAACAGGCAGTTAGTATAAAAAGAATTAGAGCCTTGTCAGGAAGGAAGCAAAAAGGAAAAGAAAGAAGGTCACAGAGGGCTGTCAGGACTGATGACAATGTCCTGGTGTTGTAACGCATAAATGCACGTTAATAGGTCACGTTTTCTTACAGAAGCACTGCATTAAGTCTCTATCATGCAGTTTAATTAGCTGTATGATTTAGGCAGGGGTAGGGTGTTGCAAAAATCATCCAGTTCTGTAGATGTTTGGTTTTGTGCTTTTGATTAGATTAAGTAGTATTGGTTGTTTCCCTCCATTATCCCTTTTGTTTTGTAAGCCAGGATAAATAAGAATTTCCTGTAGCACTGTTTTCTCTTCCCTTGCCATCCAAGACTAAGCCAGTTGCAAATTTCCTTGTACCATTTATCATATAATAGTAATTCTAGGAAGAGGTTTTTTTCACCTCTGAAAAATTCATTTAATATAAACTGAGCAAGCCACTCAAAACCCACTGAGGGATGACCTCATGGTCAACTCATGATCAATTAATTTCTTTTAAAAACATATTTGAGATTTTGGACGGATGGCTTCTTTAGAAGGGAATCAACAAACTCTGTCAGTGCCTATAAGATCTCACAGTATACACAGCTGAGTTACTGACTTCTCTGAGGGCTCAACAGGAGAACAATTCTGGAACAAAATACACTCTGTGCTCACTGCCGAGCACAACTTTTATCAGCTCTGTGCCCATCATGAGAATTGATGAATTTAGATATTTATTAGAGACAATGAGAAGCAGCTAGGCTTTGGACCCAGTTAGTCCCTTGGGAAAGGTTACGCTGATTTCCTAGTTGACTTGTTAGAACGTTATTTCTTTTTTTTTTTTAGAGCAGAATAGAAGCTATGTAGAAAGTCAACCTAAAACAAAGACACAGCTTGATCTGGATGGTGTTCTCATGATGCATCATATTAAAAAGCAGCAACTTAAATTTTAAGGGAGGCAGGGGGAAGCAGTTTTAAAAGCTACATTACAAACCTAAGTGAAAAAATTTTTTGCAGCCAGGGTACACTCATGCTTGACACTGGCTTCCTTTTATATGCATACAAAAGGCAATTTCTGTATTATTAAATTCAGAGTAAAAGCAAGTGTTCTATAAAGCCAGGCCTACTAAAAGGTAAGAGATGTTTCCACTCAGTCATATACAAGACAAATGAGGTAGTTTTTCAGTGTATCAACCGATGTGATCGACTGAAGGATTTGCATAAAAATAGAGATCACCAGGAAAAATATCCAAAGAGTAGATTCTTAATTATCAGAAATGCCAATCTATGACTAATGCCTCCTGTGAGGAAAACATAAAAGTTTGTCTCATCTTTTCTAATACAGCTACAGGATATCTTTTCCTATACAGTGCTACTTTTCAAAGTTTTCATATGAAACAGGGCTCCCCTTTCATTACATGCTGTCTAAAGTAAAGCATTTCCTGTGGGATGAAGATGCATTGCTATCACAGGTTTCATGGATGACCCTGGTGCATCACTTGATTCCTCCTGCTGTGTTTCCATATCTGCAAAATGGAATATTTTTGTATAGTGGTGATACTAGCAATAAAAATTCAGTTGCAGAATAATGAACTGTTCTGTACTCAAACTCTTAAAGGCATGACTAAAAAGAAATCTATTTCAACCCCTGATACATACATAGTCTTTCCAATAAAACCTTCCTGCCTACATGGATGGGAGGACAAGCTGTCATAACAGTTTTTTCTAAAACTGGAAGCTAAGTGGATTAAGATGTTTCAGTGAATTAAGTAATGCAATACATGACTTGTGCCTTCCCTGACACTAAAATCTGAGGCAATGTGACAAAGTACACCAGCCAATTCAGAAACAATGCAACTTCTTTCCAGTAGATCACATGCCATTATCTACTGTCTCTGATTTTGGCCTTTTTAAGAGATATCTGGTAGCTTTACAGTGACATGTAAGACAAAAGAATATTTTGTCTGCCTGAGATTAACTACAAGAAATCAGCCTGAATGAACCTGAAGACAAAACTCTGTCAGCAAATATGGTCTCCCCAAGACCAAGATTAAGCAATATGAGGAGTATCCTGTATATGGTGCTACCAACATTATCTGTGGTCTGGGCACAGTAAGAATTTCAGGGCTGTAAAATGATCCACTCAACACTTTCTGCAGCACTAGTCTAGCACCAAAATTTGGAGAAAATGAAGAAGATGAGAATACAACTCTCATATTTGAAAATCCAACACTATGTACCATAGAACTTCCAAAATAGGAAAGACGCTGTTTCCAGCTCCACAACCAACCTAAAACAAGAAGAGAAACAAAGGTAAAATAAATAGGCAAATAAAACCTTTTTTGTTATTTTTGTCTTAAATTAGTTGGCACATAGGACCCATTAAAGTTGAAGGTATGTTGGACAGAAAAGGTATAAACAGCTCATACCAAAATTCTCAAATAATTTATATGATCATGTTTCTCCTCAATGTCTTTCTAAAGTTGAGAGAATCCATCTCTCAAACTGCATAAGAAAATGCAATATTCTTGTCCAATTTCACCATTTGGCAAGAATACATCAACTAATTGCACTTTTAGACAAAACAAAAATATAAGTTTCCTTAGGATATCAGAAACCCAACTTTCAATGACAATGGAATCTGATTATCTAGCCCTGTTCTGATTTGGGAGAAACTTTAAAGGAAAAACAAAGTCCATATGCTAGGTTTCTGTGAAAGTTTCTGCCATAAATGAATATAGTATGTTAAATTCTAAATGCTCACTTTTTTGATACTTACTAAGTATGTTTATCAGATTTGTGAGCAATTAAGTGGAGCTCTATATGATGAGTAGAACTTTTGCAGTGCATTACCTCTAATATTCTATAAGTGGCATCACTTCCAGGGAAAGATTCTAGCCTGTCAAGTTCTTCTCCACAATTTTTACCCTGAGGATTTTCACTAAGTGTTTCTGCTTGGTTTTTATTATATACACGTCCTTGTAGAGCAGTAGAACCACCTTGATAATTTTTCTTCCAGTATTTTTCTCCTTCATCAAACATTTCATTTTTGTGTGAAAAACTGTTAGTACTATTTATTTTTCTGTGTTCTGAAGATCTTTCTTCTCTTCGCAATTCTTGTCTCTTTTCTTCTGGAAGAATTTCTGGAAATTCCAGAAATAGCCAATTACGATCCTTGAAAAAGTTATTTTTATGGGTCTTGTAAAATTCATTCCAATATTTACTGGCTTCTCTCTCATATTTATCTGAAATTAAAAGAGAACAAAACCTTGGTGAATATGAGCTTAGCTACAAAATACTCTAAAGCAACATGGAATTTAGACCTCAAATATACAGTTTAAAAACCCATGGTTCCACAGATCGTACTTTTAAATTAAAACATATAGATTTTGGATTTACCTTAATCTGCTCAAATTTATTCCTATGAAGGTTTAATTAGATTTTACGTCACTTAGAAAGGGGCAGACAGGCTTTCTGCATCACTTTTTTTAATATAGTGATATAATAGAACAGCATCACCAAAACATGCAATCTGAAGATTCTCAAACTTTCATTTGTCTCACATTATAAAAGCAATGCATCTTTTCAATTATTTAAGAAATACTAAATTGAAATTAATTTTATGTTTTATGAAATTCTGTCATCAATTGTAGATTTGTTGGCAGCTCATCATCTCTTAAAAACCCCAGCAATTAGAAATCTAGTTCTGTGAACATGAGTGATAGATGCTACTGCATAGCATATAGACAGTAATTCATGCTTAACCATTCAACAATACAGTCAGAAGAAACATACTGGCTTTCTTACTTTCAAAACACTTCCGAGTCTTACAATAGATCTTTTAATTCACGAAAGATTGTAACGGAATGTTAGAATGTAAAGGAATAGGACTGGAAGGGATTTCACTCAGTCAGGGAATTCATACCCCTTCTCCACAAAGATCTCTCCAACTTATTCTTAAAATACCACCTTTCATATAGGTTTAACAACTTTCTTCAGTAATATATTACTGTCCTTAACTTTCAATACAGTTAGAAATCTTTTCCACTACCTAACTATAATTTCTGTATTGCAATTAGGTCCAGCAATTCTTGTCCCATTAACCAAGTAGATAAAGCAGAGATTACTCACTTTTCTCTTTGCAACACCTATTTATATATTTGAAGTGCTTTACTATGTCTCCCATTAAATGTCTTTTCTAGAAACCTCTCTTCTTTTTTCAGTGTAACTCCTGATTTTTAGACTTTTGATAATTTTAATTCTTCTTCTCTAGATTCTTTCCAATTGATTTATTACTTTTCAGTGCTGTATTCTGGTAAAGGCATTATCAATGCAGAGCAAAAGGAGTATTTTACAAGGCTCACAGGCTGTAATCCTGTTTATAACTCCCAGCTTGCCATTTTGCAACAGCATGACTGCTGATTCAGCTAGTGATTCACCACAACCCTCAGATCTTCTTCTGCAAAATGACTACCTAGCCAATTGTTCCAGAGCCTAGTATTTTTTTCAAGGAATTATTCCAAAGCACTGTATTCTGCATTTATTTTTAGCAAACTTACATATTTCAAATTCTTTTTTCCCCCCATTTGTCCAGATCTTTCTGAATCTTAATCCTGTCCTTTACCACACTTCAAACATCTCTTCACTTAATATCATCTTCAGGTCTCCGATTTCCTGAGGTCACTAATGAAAATACCAAGCAGAACTGGACACAGAATAAAACACTCCTCACCCAGCACAGCCTTCTGTTCTGAAAGATCTCTCTAGGCATTCACTCACCCAAAAGCAGTTTCATTAGCTCTCGCTTGCCTAACTTGCTTATGAAAATGTCAAATAAAGCAAGTCAGAAGCCTGACTAAGGATAAACTTCAGGACGCCTGCTGGTTTTCCCTTATCCCCAGGGCTTGTAACCTTCTCCAAGAAGGAAATTAGCTTGATTTTACATGATTTATTCTTGAAAAAATATTTGCTGGCCAGTTTTCATCTCCTTTGTTCTTTCAAACCCAGTGTCTGCAAGCTCTGGATGTACTCTTCCAGTATTTTTCCAGGAACCGAAACTAATTATCTGACTCTTCTTTTTTTCCCACCTCCCTTCTTTAAAAAAGTAAATATTCTCTTTTCTGCTTTTCCAGTCATCCATGTACTCTATGGATGTACTTTGTAACCTGTTCTTTCTCAGTTCCAGAACAATCTTTCCTCCTTCTCACCAGCACTAATTGTGCTAGCCACTGGACTGCAGCTAACCCTTTCAAAGGCAGGCTGATAAAAAGATAAGAATTACAGTTTTTTCAATGTCTCTTTTGTTGATGGTTTTCCCTTCCTTATTCCACCAAAGTACCAAACTAAATCTTTTTTCCTGGGTGTTTTCCCCCTCATTCCCAAAGCATTTACAAAAGTATCTTGTTAGCCCTGACATCTCTTGCTAAGTGTAGATCATATAATGTGTTGCCTTTTTAATTTTGTCCCCACTCACACTGACCCATTAATTTTTTCAATAAAAAATGCACAGAGTAAATATATGGTGCATTTCTCCTACTACTCTCATTTAAATCTTAACATATTATTTCCTGAGAATTATCATTAGAGGCACAGACAGGCAGTGGGAAGTGGGAAGGAGGTGGCAGTATGCCTTGTCCTAGAAATCTGCATAATGTTTTAAAATTAACATGTAATACATCCAATTGTATTATTAAAGGGCCAGACCTGGTCATGCAGAGTAATTGCACAGACTTGTTCTATAATGTAAGTTCAGAGTTGATTGAGGTCATATATATCAGATTTCAGTAGCATAAGTTGCACATTCACAGACTGCTCAGCTTCAGTATAAAAACAAAAACCCCTTCTAGTCAAAAGGTTTTTAAATTATTATCACCCCTTGTTACAGTCATTACTTTTCTATAAGTCTGCTCAGAACCCTTGTACTTAAATTCACATCAAGTTTTCCAGATTTCAGAAATGAAGGAAAGAAATACCAAAAGTCAGCTTTTCAAACTGTATTAATATGGAATTACATAGGTTCAAGTGAAAGAACACTTCATTTTGCATTGTTTCACTGGTCACTCCTGCACCACTGTGTAATAGCTATGCATGCAGCATTATTATAAAACTTTTGCTTCATTTTGTATATTTAAGTAGCCTACCTACTAAATTTTCCAAAGCATGTACAAATGGCAAAACTAAAGAACATATAAACTTCCAAGTAAAAAAAAAAAATCCCTTACTTTGTCAATTGATGTTTCTCCTTAACAGAATCTTCCAAAACTAGCAAGCATGCCTGAGAAGAAACTAGACATGCTAATAAGTAAATCAAATTCCTAAAAGTAGTATCATGAGTTCATTCAATTTAACATCTCTTGCCTTAAAAAGGCCTACCAGAACTATTCTATTTTAGTGATATAATAATACTGTTGAAATCTGTCTTGTCTTTTTCCCCTTACTGTAGTTTTCAAGGCCCCAAAATAACCTGCTCGTTAGCTTCAGTCTAGTTCATTGTTTACACAAATAGGCCAAAATGTACTTCCACTTGCAGAATGAAGCTGAAGCTTTCTGAAGGAACACTATCAGCTGTGCTTACCTATTCAAGTTCTAAACAGAGGGGCATTCATAGGAAATGTCCTTGGATTCTTGTATTTCTTGGCAATAGACAAATGCCTAATTATTCCATTTCTCACCAGCACAAACTAAGTTCTAACTGATTGTAGATGAAGAATTAAAGGTTCTGTGAGCTACATGTTCACACAGCTTACTTTTCAATTATGAGCTCTTTTTCAGCTTTTTATACAAACCAAAGGAAAATACTAGATGTAATTTCTGAAAAACAAACATTGTACTTAGATAAAGAATGTGAGAGATAACAGAAAAAGGCAGGCTGACAATCCCAGAGCATTCAGAGTGATGAAGGGCACAAATGCAAGGCACATTCTCAGGTAATTCAAATAAACTCCAACATGTGCCTTAGTTATATCAGTGAAACTCAGCACAGGATCATAATGACACTATCTAATTTGACAGATTCAAGACATGCTAAGTAAACTGAGGTCCAAGATATCCAAGTAATTTTTTTCAGAATATCTTTCTAACACTATAACAAATTAAGAATCCAGTCTTCTATGACACCATCAAGTTGATACCGCAGCTTTAGCAAACATAACTACCCTAGAGTTTAGTCTATGGTTTAGTTTGCCAGTTTGAACCTAGAGCTATCATTCTTCAGAAACTCAGAACACATTAAACTTCCCTTCTGAAGATAGGCACAAAATTTGTTAATCATTTACAGTGCAAATTCTGCATTGTATTGGAACACCTTCCACACGAAGTGAACATACTGCTTCCTGAAGCACTCCCAGTTCAGCCTGGCAAAGACAGCAAGGTGGGACCAGCTGGGACCAGTGCAACCTTCATGGTGCTCAACTGAAATACAGTGCAATGCACAAACACAAGCTCTCTAAATAGTCTACTAATCATTAAAAAGCATTTGAACACTGTACATGGGAACTTTCATCCCCAGCACCATAGCTGGATGCAAACTCATTCCTCTGATTCTGTAAAAGTCCCGTGTAGTAGTTTCATTCTGAAGAACTGCAAAAGGAATCAGAACAACCATACCATACTGATGTACTTGTTTTACATAGAGTCTATTGCTCCCCCAATTGCAAAATTGTTCAAATAAGTAACTGAATTGCTAGAAAAACACACTTTGAGATCTTTTGAGGCAATAAAGGGAAAAAACCCCAAAACAAACAAAAAAATTCAGACAAGAGAATGTAGAAATAAAAAGGGTGTTCCTGGATTCTAAAGCCATTTTAAATGTTTTCTTAAACAGCATTAAAATAAGAATTTTTATGCCATTAGGAATTTTTTACCTTGGTCTTCCCATTGAACTTTCACAAGCGAGTTCTCTGCTGCTTTTTTCTTGGCACTCTCCTCTTCTTCTTGTGACCATTGCATGTGGTCCCTGAAAAAGGCAGTTGAAGAACCAGCTATTTCATAGGATTTTCCATAATATTTTTTTTCCAGGAAAAACAGTATCAAATTAGCTATACTGTCTCAAATACTTTTTTTTTTTTTTTGAGTGCAATCAAACGACCACAAGGAGACTGACAGGTAAAACCCAAGTTTCAGTGTATGATAGATAAGAATTAATCACCAGTTAGGTAAAACTCAAGTGATTCAGAAACATCTCCCAACTGCAAAGAGACTGAAGTAGTATGAAGTAAGTAGTTTCCTTAATAACAGGATTAATATATATCTTGTAGATTGAGTGTGTGTACAGGAACGTATTTTGAGTGTCCCATTAGAACCATGTTTAGCTGAATACAATAGACCTACCAATAAACACCTAATGCAAGAAACTTCTTGCATTACTAGTGTTTATAATGAAGAACTGAGGTCATTTAGCAAAGAAATCAGCTGTTCCTGAAACAGGGAGCATAATCCACCTATGCAACTGGAACCAGTGGAATTGATGAACACGATTTTACTTATTTGGGGAACAGAGACAAATAACATTTAAAAAAAAGAATGAGACATACATAAGAAAAGACAAGCAGTGCTACAATGGTTCCAAAGTTTATGTCCTCTCTATCTGCATAAAGTGGTTAACCAAATGTTATGTTAATCAATTAAACCATCACAGAACCAAGCCCAGATCTGACAGTGATGACTAAACTGCGTTCCCTGCAGATTCTGTGTTTGGATCAGGCTGCAATGGGAAGTGCCCAAAAATGTGCTGCTGGCTGTTTTTAAAAGCCAATCAGCTGTCCCTCCAAATCATTCAGTCTGAACAGATTAAATAAATAATATAATTCAAGTAATCTATTAGATCCTAATCCTACTGAAATCAACTAACTGAAAGCCCATGACTAAAATTCCATTGGTTACTATGGGAAAAGAGATAAGGTGCCAACTTGGGAAGAGCTGATTGTCTCTAGAAGCTAATGAGCATCTTCCTGTTCTGTACCTGGTGATATATAGGTAATTTAATTCTTAGACCTTCGCTGTTCCTCTTTTGTTAATTGTGGGAGACTAATTGGTATGTATTTGTCTGCTTGCCTCAGACTTGATTTCCGCATCTCTACTGAAATATTTCTCATTATTGTCCCCAGCAGGTTGCCTCTCCCCTTCCTGTATTTGTTCATATACCAAATGTTCCTGTGCAGTGTCACGGCTCTAACAGACATGCTGCAGTAGAATAAACTGAATGACCAAAAGCATTACTAGGCAGTCATCCTCTTGGAAAGACTTGCTTCCCTCACTGCTATCACCACTTTTGACCTTGCCTACTCCAGCAACCTGAAAGCAAGGACTATTCAGATGGCAAGAATACACAGTCAGCCCTTCTGACAGATGACTTGCTGTGGTATAATCTTCAGCTGATCAATTTTAATCTATCATTGTGTGTCTGCCAGAGCCCTTAAGGGTGCCTGAAGCCCTCCATCTTCAACAATCTTTTTTTCCCTTTTTCCTTCCTTGGAAATTCATAAAGCTGAAGAAGGATCTTTTGGCTCTTTCCTAGAAATTTCTGTATGGTAGGTCCCAAACAACATGACTGCAGCAGCACTTCCTGATCAAAATCTACAAAGGAGGAGACATAGCATAGTTCTTATGCAAACTATTTACACAGTTTGGATGCTTCAAATGAGGCAATACAAGCTGGCAGAAATACAGGACACAGGAGAATCCTAAGCACGGAAGTGTTTAAATACAGAAGTGTTTTAAGCTGAACACTGACAGCAGCAAAGCAAGCTATCCATTTTAACCACACCAGGAGCTGTTAACATGAGTAGGCCTAATACAAGATCAAACAATGCTGCTTTTAGTTCAGTTTATTCAACTTAGTCCTTCTCCACTAACTTGTTTGCTAACATAGGGTTTCATTATCTCTGTGATAATGTGAAAACTATCCCAATTACTAACATGAATAGAAGCAGACATTTTTTGCTCCAATGTTTAACCTTACTCATTAGTTCTCTCTTGAAATGACAGAAAAGCACCACAGCAAACATCTAAAGCATTAGTTCTCAAATTTAATCTACTTAGTATGTCTAGCAGCAATGGTAGCAGCTCTTGGCTCTCTGCCAATTCACACACAGACAAAAAGAATGACAAAGCATGAAGTACCAAAGATGATGAGTGGAAAACAAAAGGATATCATACATCAACGCTAGAGAAGATGAATATCTTATGCTCACCCTGCATAATCTATTCAGCACTACCACCCCTCATCCTAATCCCCTTTATCTCCCTAGTGAGAACTGTGCCAGTTCAGTGAGCTTCAGATCCAAGGTCCTACACCTCTTCATAGCCAGGTTCTTGATTTATCAAGACCATCACAACTTCCACGCGCCTCTGCTTCAACTCAGTTTCACCTACTTTCCCTTGTGAGCTACACGGATTCATCTGCAGATCCATTTTCTGAACAACACTGTTCCGTTCACTCTCGTTTTCACAATCCATCCCAACCATCTGCATCATAGTTTGATAACTCTATTAGACTGTCACCAAAGGCTAGCAGGAAAAACTGAAGCTACACACGATCAGTTTTTTGGAGGGAAATTAAAAAAAAAAAACCCAAACAAAACAAACCCAAACAATCAGAAAAACAATCCCAAAACTGAATTTCATTGAGATACAATGTTACAGAAAAAGGATGTCCTTTTCCTAAAAGATCTTTTAAAAAAGATTTTAAAATCTTTTCCTACCTTGATTACGTACATTTAAATCAGCATTTACACAGGTAAAGGATTTTAACACCTAGCAGAAAGCACTCAGCCTGGAATATGTTAAAGAACTACACTGCTTATAGATTGATGAAACACAGATTAACTTTACACTCTTAACACAATAATCAGCCAGCTTCCAGCTTTCTTGACCAAGGAATGTATGGAAGTACAGTTAACTCCAAATTTGGCCTTAGGATGGTAAGTGTTGAGGACCATGGCTTGGGGACACCAAGTTTAGAAAACACTAACAGGTGGCAGATCTAGTTAACTAATCAGCTAAGTCCAAATTTAGAGACTAAAAAGAGTAACAAAGATGCTAGTTCATTAACCAGAGGACAATTTTCTGTGTCATATTCTTAAGACCTTTTTATTAATCAGAATTTGATTAGAGAATCTTTTGAAATAATTTAGATTAAAAAGCAAAGTGGACCAATGAACAAATAAAATGGACTACTAAAAAGAATAGTAATTAAAAAAAACCCAAACAAACAGCAAGGTGAAACTTCATTTCAGAACACAACCTTGTCAAGTAACTTCTCTGACAGCTGACAGCAGAGGACACCTCTGAGGAAACTATAAGAACTGTAGATTAGTTCTATGAAGTAAGCTTAAGGCCTGAAACTTGTTATCTGCTACTTCTATGTTATGTTACCCATTGGTTATTATTAGCCACTTCCAGTCTCTTTTTCGAATATTGCTAAAGCCTTCCTATCAAAAATAGTGACACAATTAAAAAATACATTTAAAATTTATGTAGAAAATAATTTCTTGTATAGTTTCTAAATTCACCACTTTTCATCAAATATTCCTTGGTTTTAAGTTATGAACTATAGGAAGAAAAATTCCGGGTTTCCCCAATATGTTAGGTAGATATTCTTCTACTTTCTAAACAGATTTAGATATTCTTCTATCCTCCTAACACTTCCTGTATCACTTGCTGTTTTGTATTCATCTCCATTCCACAGCAAAAAATCTTAGCCTTTTTAGTCTAATTTTTCCCACTGTGTTGACCAGCATTCTCCCTCTTTTCTGAGGGCCCATTAAATACAAAAATACCTTTTAGAGATGGAGATGCACTGTTGCAAATCAGGACAACTCTTCTGGTTAACATCTACACATCGATGTCTTCTCTGCTGTTATATCGCTTATTTATGTTAAGATTCAATTTACTTTTTTTGATAATTGCACACTGCATGGAAATCTCTGCTGAATGATCTGTAACATCTTCAGTACACCTTTAGAAGAATACAAGTAATTCACATGTTCCTTTCAAAGTGGTGTCAGTTTTAGACTAGGTCGCTAATCCAGCATGCAACATCCTTGTACCTAACAAGTAACCTTCTGCCATTATAAATAATATGGACTATCTTATTGCTACACCTTCTGTCTCTTAATTAATTACTGATGCATAACAATATTTTGCATTTCATTCCTTGACTAACTACATACTCAGCAGCTTTTTACAGAAGTCATTGAGAACTTGTAATGGTCAGATTACTCGTGACAATCTCAAGTTTTCTCTAGTGCTCCCTTTACATGTCTTTACTGGCAGTACCTCCTTTTATACACACATGCACACACGTCATTATTCATCATAGTAAACAGTATACAAAATTATATGAAAATCAGCCTTGAAAAAACATCTCACCACATGTTATGCTCAAAGACCTTAGAAGGATCAGTTAAAATCCGTGATCCAAGTGGAGCAGCTGGTCGTCTATTACTTTGGTGCCTGTGTTGCATCTTGCTTTTCCTCAGACATAAAGCAGAAAGCCTTGTAATGAAATTCATTTTGTTCAGAGACCTGAAAACACATTTAACTCAAATTACAATTTTGCTGTAACTTAATTGTTTATGTCGCTTACATGAGAAACAGGTCAAATAACCAAGCACCAGTATCGGCTTTAGTAATAATAATCTACTACAGTTCAATTTAAATGCTTTTTGGAACAGCAACATCCCTTCAGTGCGCTGAAAACCCAAATAATCACAGAGTAGGCTGGAATGAAACCAATTGAAGGACAAATTATTTGGTATCATTTCAAAGTCCTATGAGGCAGGGGAAAGAAAAGCAATATACGGTAAAACAATAATCCAAGTCTGATATTGCACCTTGACAAAGACAAGCAAGAAATGATCAGTAAAGAAACCACTTGTTCTAGTGGGTACATTCTGTCACCAAGACTGACTTTTTCACCCCACTCATCATCTTCAAAAGATTTCATTCTAGATCTGTGACTCTGGTTTTATGCTTTTAAATAGGAAATGAAACATTTTTATTTTTAGAGTGCAAACATTATGCACCAGAAAGCCTTCCAAAATGAATGGTCCTAAATGTTAAATTTCTGCCTATGCAAATTATAAAGTGATTGAGATTTTTCTTATTACATGTATAATTCTGTCTTATACATCTATATTTTACTTTACTTGAAATTTCTTCATACAATATCAAGAAAGTCCAAGTAATGAAAGATAACAAGTGTGTGTATCTCATACCAGCATTTTTTCTTGGGTTTTTATTTTCTTTGTTTGTTTTTTTTTTTGTATATTCTCATTAATGTAGGCTTTCTATGAGATGAATAAAATTAAATACACCTCCTAATACTACTTTTATCCTGATGTGCCTTTGTTCTTTTTTCTTTCAAATGTTCTGCATGACTTTAAAAATTATTCTTAGTTCTACTTTTTTTTTCTTCTTTTTTTTTTTTTTTTTGGAGTGCTGCTTCTGTAAAAACCACACATACAAATTTAATGCAGTGGAAATACAAAATGTAGTTACAAAAGAACAGGCACAAGACACTACTAGAAAACATTGTGTGCAAATTGGTTACAAAAAGAAGATTTTTATCTTGCAGAAAATAGTACTATTTGATCACAAATCTTGTACTGTGAATCAAAACTTATTAATTTGTACACATCACTACAAAAACTGGCAAAGGAATCACTAATTAAATGAACAACTACTCATTTAAGGTGTACTTTTGAATGAGTCATGCTTTAAAAAGGGCATTGTTTATTCACTTAAGCCTACAGAAAAAAAAAAGGAAAAAAGATTAAAATTTATTTGTGAAAGATTAAATAAAATGAAGTTTACCTTATAGTTGTCAATGCCAAATAAAATTGTTGTTAATTTCGGCCAATAAGACTGCAATGTTTCCAGGATATGGGGGCACTGCCATACAGTGAAAATATATCATGCTGTCCTATTAAAAAAATCAGAATTTCTAATGTTAGCAAGTTTATTATGTTTTTTTTTTCTTAAATGTGGCTCAGCAACTAAAACAATTTCAGTTTATACTTCAATTACTACAAATTGTTTAAGCTTTGTATTTGAAAATATGTATGTATTTTTCATAACACAATGCATAACATATATGGGATATAATAATAATTATGAGACATGAAAATTAAGACATTATGACAATTTCTGCAAAATGTGTAATTTACATAAAGGGAACGTTCTTGAAAACAAAAACAAATAGAAAATTCTTCAAAACCCCAAACTTTAATCTGATCTAAAATTATTATTATTAAATTACAGTAATGCCTGGATAAAGATTCCATTATTACAATGCAAACTGTTTACAAATCCTCTTCCTTCTTCAATCATTCGAAAAGATCTGAGTTAGTATCTTGCATTTCCTGTGCCAGCATTGATATTCACCATAAAATATGATTCAGCTGCTAGGCTAGTCACATAATTTTTTTTGGCTTTCTAAATATCTCAATAAGAACATGAAAAGATGCACAGATGGCAATTATAGTCAGATGACTCAGATGATCTTGCATCAGTAAAATCCAGATATGAAACTCTTTCTATGAAAATGTAATCCTTTGAGTGGTAAGTGAACAATTTTAGCTGATAAATTCTGGAAAAAGCAAGGAGAGAGAGGTAGGTGTGGAATTTAAATTTACTGTTACATCCAGTGTTAAATGTGAATGAACCCCTTGGAGACATGCATGTATATCCCTGAGAATTAAAAGTGATCCACAGATCATGAGATAAGTGGACAACCTGGCTACTAAAAGTTGAAAATGCATCTAAATTACTTGGAAACCTAAATAACATTTTCAGAAGCAAGTCCTTGCTCAGTTGTTTCTCTAAGTGATTTCTGCTAATGAAACATGCAAACACCCTTTCTCTTTGTCAGGTAACATGATCATACCCTGAAGTCACGACAGCAAGAAATGTCTGAAAGAATTAGGAGTTATTTCCTTGTTCAGAGGCACAGTCAGGAATAGTTTAAGTTTTATTATTAATCAAAGCAATTTAACCTTCATCTTTAAAGAAATTAACACTAAACTGAACTACATTAAAAATGGCTAAATTTTGTGGCAGCATAGCTATTTTTCAGAAAAAGAAAAACTTTAAAGAAGCAATGCAATTGATAACCATGCTGAAAAGCAACATGGAAGACTTTTTTTCCCCTGTGGAGTGCTGCCTTTTATCCTTTATAATTTTGTCATTGTTACAAGTATAGATCAGTTTAGTTGAGAAAACAGCCTTAAAACTCCTCCTCTCTTCAAACCAGCTAACACAGTACTTTTACCAATACTTTTTGAAAGTGGACATGCAAAAGAATGAATACACATCAAATGCAAGCTACACCTGAAAGAATACATTTTTAATTGATGTTGCCATTAAAACCTTGAGCAGTCACAGCCACAGAGACAAAAATAAAGATACAGGAGAAAGGAACTGTTTTAATGTTTTTTAATGGCGGATTACACCCCAAAACATATGTAAACCAGTTAACTGATGAGTAAAATCCTTTAAAAGTATCAGTTCTGAGGGAGATGTCAGTGGGGAAAAAAAAAATCAAAAAGAACAGAAATAACCTTTTATTTCTGTCCAAGAAACTAATTTAATGAACTTACTAGATGAAAATATTTTGACATTTGACTGATCTCCAATTACAAATATAACAACTTTTTCCATCTCCAATCACTAAGCCAACTTGTAGGGCCTCGGTTATAAAGCAAAAATAGCCTACACTAGGAACAGTATGTGCAGCTTATGTTACATTCCTGGACAGAAAAGTATTCTGGAAACAATTAACTTCATACAGTCACTTTTGCTTGGCACCTAGAAGCATATCTAGACATTTGACCATTAATCCCCAACACTCTCCTGTAAAGCACAGCTGATCTATTTTATCACCATCAAACACTACCAAAACTCAAAACACTTTACACAAAACAGATGCAAGTGACAATCATGGACACAAAGGAAAAAAATTTTCAAGATAATGGTTACACAGAAGGTATAACTATGAATTACCAGTGGCTATTTTTAAAATACATACATATTAATATTTCTCAATATTTCAAATCCAGAGGGATGGGGGCGACTACTGTCAACCAGACTCATTCATCAACTGAATGCTTACTGCTATTCTATTCTACCAAGTGACTAATCATGTCCTCTTGAGGTTTCATGATTAGTTTTTCAATTATATACTTCCAAAAAAACATGCACATTTGAAACAATAGGATATTTCACAACTTTTCAAACTCAGCAGATCTAAAATTTTCAATTGTTTTTCTTCCTCGTGCATAATAACCAAGAATGATGCAGACCTCCCTGTGGGCATACAGCAACTTCAGCAAAACTGCTGCAGAGCACCGACTCCCAAGGAGAAGAGAAAAACAAAAGAAAAATTATTTTGATTTATTCTGACTTCTATACAGACAACACAGTTAACACTGGTTAAAAAGCAAAGCAGATAAAAACAAACAAATCAATGCCACCACATATGATTTTAATCACGTGTACACAAATGTTGAGTGAGAAGTGCCTGTTCTTACACCAGCTGCCAGGTAGCCTGTCAAATATAGTCGAAGAAAGAGCAAATAGTTTCTACAATGGTAGAGGGAGAGAGAGAACGGGAGATAAACCCTGCTGATGTTCTGAAAACATTTACTTGAATCACAGAAGAGTTACCCGTTACCCTGCACACCCTCTGCTGGCTGCTGCTTACACAGGAAGGAGGAAAAAGAAGAGGAAAAAAAAAGGAGCTGTGGTGACTTTGTGTCATCACATATACATGCTCAGTGAAGATGCATCTTAACCTCCAAATGCAATCACTTAAACTGTTTTTAATCCTATTTTGTACGAAATATCGAACATTTAACTGTATTGTCTAGCAAAAGATGATTTGTCTCAACACAAACGATGTTTTCCTTCTATTAAAGATGATGAGAATTGGGATAGAGCAACATGAATTTTACTACTGTCTACAATTTATATTGAAGCACTTCATTCACTAACATTCCTGCAAGACTCTGGGTGTCCATATGGACTTGGCTTAGCTGCAACCTGCCCTGTCAGCTCTGAAATCAGTGGCAGTGTTGCAGATCCACTGGGCAGGATGCACTTACTGCCCTACCCAGGTCTTTGAAGGAGCAACTGCAACCACCGTGCTTGTGTGTTTAACTCACTTCATCAAATAACTGTAAAGCACCAGAAAATTAAAGGCCTCTCTCTTTGCTTACAGTATCAGTGAAGATTAAAGGTTTCACTCAGAGACCCCGAAGAACAGACACGGACAAAACACACAAAGTATCAGCAACTTCCGCATTACCCCATGTGGGCGCCTGGCCCCTGGCAACCAGGGGAAAGAAGTTTTTTCCGCAGACTTCAGCTGCTCCGCCGGCAAGCAGTGACTGATAACTGTGACAACTTTTGGAATGTAGCTCTAAAAATACACAACTGAAGCGCCATCCATCTTAAGGAGTTGCTGTTGACCTTGGAGTCTTACACAGGGTTAAACAAATCCCTTAACATTTCCAACCTTCCCCCAAGTCCCGGTACGCTCCATCCCACCCCGCCGTACCCAAAAGGGGTGGTGGCCGGTGCCACCGGCCCGCAGGTGCCAGCCCGGCCGGGGCAGAGCTCCCGGGGCAGCTCGCCGGCTCTCCCCGACCCCCGCGCAGCGCCTCCCTCCTGCCCGGTCCTCCGAGCGGTGCCTGGCCGACGCCGCAGCGCTGCCGACTCGGGAGCGGCCCCGCTCCGCCACCCACGCGCGGGGCCCGGCCGGGCCCGGCAGCGGGGCCCGGGGAGCCGCGGCGGGAGGTGAAGTCCGGGCGCGCCGCGCGATTCCGCCCCTGAAAACTACAGTACCCGGCGGGCCACGGGGAGGCGACGGCGGCGCAGGGCTGTTCGTGCCTGCTTTGCGGGAACTCGGCGCTGTGGCGGCGGGGGAAGCGCGGGGAGCGGAGCCCCGTAGGGAGGCCTCGGTGTGCGTCTCTCGGGAGTCAGGGAACAAGAGGCCGCTCGGGCCTTTCCCCGCTTCGCTTCAGCTCTCGCGGGGGTTTGAGAGAAACCCGGGGCGGGCCCGGGCCCAGCAAGGCTGCGCGACCCTCCCACCGCCAGGCTGGAGCGGGGCAGGAAGGCGAGCCGGGAGCGGGGCAGGAAGGCGGTGCCCCCCCGCCGGCCGGGAATGTGCCCGCAGGCGGCCCCCGGCCGAGTCAGGGCCGCCCCCCGCACGCCCGGCCCTCACAACGTTTGCCGCGTCCTCGCCCGCAGGGCCCACGGCTTCTATGCCAGGGATGCTGGTGTCGCCCACAGGAAAAACCTGGGACTCCTCAGGAAGATCATGTGTCAGGTAATAGCGGGGCGTTTCGGCGCTGGCTGAATCCCTGCGGGTACCGGCTTTCAGTCGGGGGGGCGGAGTGTCAGTGCTTAGCCCAGGTGTTTGAGAAGTCCCTGGTCACGCTGGCGAACAAGTTTGGGGAAAAAAACATCTGCAGTTTTACTGAGGAGAGTTAGAAATGGTTAAATTTACTTCTCGAGTCTCAGACCTAGAAATGTAGAGACGATTATGCTGTGCAAAAACTGCAGAAGCACCTGTAAATCTAATAATTGTGTTATAAATAAGCTTTTGTGAGGTTTTATATCACTTATTTCCCTAAAATGGCTTCATATTTAATGCCAATATTAAATTCATAGCGCTTAAGAGAGCGTCAACGTTAAACTTGAAAGGAGTTCTCACAACTAAGTAAGCTAATCAGCAGAGTTCTTCAGGTAAACATAACCCTAACCAATCAGTGAATTGATGGTAACATAAGAAAAGGAATTAAAGCAATTAGAAACTGAACTCTTTTTTTAATCAAAATGATTACTGCTCCTGTGCAATAGTTGATAGGAATACATTGAAAGTGGAAGGGAATTGGCAGTTATGTTATATTGAAAATACACTTATTGGAAGTCAGCTGAAGTGTGTTCTAATGTAATTAGATCAATGGGCATGCAAAGTTTATTGGAATAAAAATAAGTTCATTTGACCTACACTTTTTTTTTTTTGCAAGACTAGAACCTTTGTTAATGGTATAAAGCAACTGATACCTATAATGCATGCAAGAAACTTTTATGGAAGCAGTTTATTCCATTAACATTTCAGGCACTTTTTGCAAATAACTGCAAACACATTTTTCTGCCTTTCACTCCAAACACGGCTGGCAAAGTGGAATTAGATGTTCAATAAATACAATTAATTACATATAAGAGAATTCTATGCATATTTAAACTCTGGGGAGTTTAGTTCTTGATTTCAAAAGTCACCATGAAAGTTTAGTTGCCAGCTTTAATGCAGGTAAATTAATGACAGAACATTCCTCACCCATGCTGTCCATTATAGGTAATAAAAAATCTTTTAATTTGGTTAAAAAAAAAAGACAATTTTTCCTTAAGAAAGGTCTTTCAATTTGGTTTAAAAAAAACAAATAAGAATCTCTTTTATATTTTCAACTATAAAGTTTCAATTCATGTAAGTTATTAAGCTGCAGGAGCCAAATAAAATATTTTCCAGAAGCAAAGTTTGTTATAAAAGCCATCATTATTACAACTACTGTGTTTCAGGAAAGTACTAAATTCAAGAACGTTTGGACAACTCATTCTGCATCTCCTATTGCGTATGAAAGAGGAAGAATATACATGGACAATTACCAGTGCTGCATTAGCAGGTAATAAATTTACAATTACAAGGCACCCTGACAGTTTTGAGACTGTGATTCTGTGTTAGACATGTTGCTAACTTTACTCACTCAAATAGCTGCTGTGAATTGAGTGGAATTTACCTAGGAACAAGAAATAACCAGGTGCATAAATCTCTGTTGAATTACATTTAGATGCCCTTGTATTTTAATGTGACACTTGCTTTGATAAAAGAAAGTCTGATCTTACTGGTGCTGTATTAACTTCAGCTTTCAGAGTACTTTAATAGGAGTGGAAGATTATCACCATTTTATAATCTGGCACTGAAAAGCCAAATGAACAGTAGTTCTCTGCAG